GAAGGCCTCAATGTAACACTGGTTTGTACACAAAAAGCCTGCATTTTTGCAGATTTTTCGACTCAATTTTCTCTTCTTTGCTGGTACATTGTTGTTTTACAACAAGAAGAAAATATCGATCCCTCTCTCAGAAATGTTTTTAACAATAAATTCTGGGTTTACAATTTGAACAGAAAAATCTGTGCGCTGAACCACGTCTCCCCTAGATGACGTCATAGCAACAGCCCTCAGCTGTCCGGGAAAGCATGGATAATCTGAATTATTTTAAAAGTGCACCTTTCAATGCATTTAACTGAACAGAAATTTAAGATAGTTGCCTTACACTGAAGAAGAATACAAAGTTGAAGAAAAATTGTGTCTAAGAAATTTTCATTGCAGCTACACTTTAAAGTCGCATTCTACCAGCTAGAGTTCCAAACTTCTCTTTACGGACGTGGTTCACAGACGGATTTTGTTGTAAATATAGTAGATGTGCTGAATCTCCTGAATTATATAATCCCAATTGCAATGTTTGAAATTTTGGGAGGAAACGGTTTAATTAGCTCTGTCCGTCAATTATACGTTGTGAGTAACTGGACATGGCAGAGGTCCTCCGAACCAAACCAGTATGAAGGAACTCTCAGGGATGAGTGAAGTGCAGTCTAAATCATCCCTTTTTAGCGAGATGATTTGAGGAACAATTGGCTGTTTTGACTTCTTCGGTCACAGCCAATTACAGGATTAGAACAATATAGTTCATTATGCTTTTGTGGTTAGAAATGCATCGATTATTAATTGTTAAATGTAAGCTGTTCTTTTATGCACCAATGTATTACAGTTATTACGGACGGATATTAGAGGGCAAAAAAACTGAATTTTTCACGTGCTTTTGCCACGCGTTAGAGTAAAACGTTTAAGACTCAGTAGAAATAAGGGAAAGGGGAAACATTATCTAATTACACATTGCTTTCTCTGTAAGTACAGAAAATATCTGTTTTCCCACTGGAGACATTATTATTATTATTCTGCATTTAGAGACGCTATTCATAGTGGAAACTATATCACAGCGTTTACAATTATTACAAAACCCCCATTACACTTTACGTCATAAGACAATCTTTCCCTAAACATATTAAATAGGTATCATTAACTAACAGCCAAAAGTACAATTAAAGAGGAAAAATATGTGATTTGAGCGATTAATTAAATGGTTAAGAGAGTCAGCATTCCTAATCACAGACAGTAATTTCCATAGCCAGTGACCAAAATCAACAATTCAGGTTGTGGTCCAGTGATCATGATTCCCCGCCGCACTGCCTCACTTAAAAGAACATTCTTTCGTATTTTGAACCGCTAAGCGTTCGAGAATTAAACATTTAGAAATGGTAGCAAAATAGAAAAACAAGATAAATTTAGTGTCAATAGTGGATAAAACTCTTATGGAGCCATGTAACAAACATTTCATTTTACTAAAGTCCTTGAAATTGTACCTCTGTGTTCCAATTTTTGTTTTGGCATTTTATCTATACTTAGGGGCCACTTGACATATCCATGAGAAAACTGTCATTACCAGAGGCACTGAACATCAATGTTGGATTGAATATTTGTACAAAAAGGGCTAGATTTTGTGTATTTCGCTATCAACGATTTTCATCCGATCGATCCGCTTTGGAAATTTATTGGTGTATAAGTACATGTATATAGCAATAGGCTATATTAAATAACATTTTCAAAGAGCAAAACTGGTACATGGAATTCTGAACCTAGGTAGCTCAACGAAAACTCCGATGCAAAGAGTCGAGTGTGCCGCACATTCAGCGTGCAGTCAAACATTTTGGGAGATATAGGCCCTGTGTGCATAATATCAAAGTGCAGTGAGTTCCGTTGAATATTGTTCTACTGCCAAGGTCGAATATAATGGAGCATTGTAAATTCTTTCACAGGGATCGTGATGGACTGACGTGTCTGGTGACCCGGGCTTTCTAAGCTATGATATATCACGTGGTGACCTCTTTTTACACTTGATAATAGGCCTTTGCGGTTTTAAAAAGGCCTGTTAGTGGGCATCTTGCAAATGTATGGTAAAGCGAGATCACAGCTGTGGTCATTCCACCCAGTCTGACCGTCGTGTCTCCAAAAAGAGCCACAGTCCTCTCTTCCTTGCCAGTTGGTTGGTTGCCCATCCAGCCATGCGCTGTAGAAAATATCCGTCTCGTCACTCCAAGTGAAAACGCCCTCGGTCTCCAAGTCGTTCAGTCCAAGTGCAACAGAACCTCCGGTGAGATTGTCGTTTGGGACCAAAGAGCTCGTCCACATCTGCAGTAGGAGGTTGTTCTCCCCAGAGCTATGGATGGACGCCAGGTGCCCCTGGCCGTTTCGAGTGAAGAACTCTTGACAGTGCTCCTCGGCCGCTTGCCAGGTCTTGGGTGGACCGAAGAAACGGTAACAGTGGTCACGGTAGCCAGTCCAGAGCGGTGGACAGTCAAGATCAATCCCCGCAGCCAAGCCGAGGGCAAGGAGGAATACTGTGCGTGAAATTTGTCGGGCAGTCATAATGCAGTTTGTACTTTGTCGGTTCTGTAACGTGCCCTTGTCGAAAGTGGAACGATGGGTGGGTTGACGAGCTGTTGAATGCTGATTTAAATAGGCTTATTCACCCAGTAGGAGCTTGGAGGCACAGATCTTGGATGGGGACCAAGAAAGACCGTAGTCCAAAGCAATACAGGGACCGCGCCTATTAAACTGCAACCGTTTGGTTGAGAATGTTATTGATGGTAAACAAGTTTTACCTCAGTGGCCCGATCCATGGAAATTGCGTCACTCTGATTTGTTTACTATTTGAATCCGTCGAACCCGGATCTTGTAATGTCAACAGGATCTGTGCTGAGAAGTCTTTCCAAGGAAACTCCAGCTCGCATTAATCGTTATGGCTACGATGCAGGAACAGAAGAGTGTTCTGTAGGCCCTACTCGGTCGTTAACACCAGTACTCATTTTACACCGCTGCCAAGCGCTGCAGTCGCTTTCTATGTTAATGCTGATCCACTGTACTAATTACAAACAATATGTCATTTAATTTGAAGCTTTTCCGAAACAAAAACAGTCTAGACAAGAAGCACATTATGGTATGTTCGGTATATTCAAATGTTTTTTAGGCTCAAAATTATAGGTCCCGTAGAGTGGGCACATTGCCTTCTTCGCTATTGGATAATCTACCACAAAGTAATCTTTAAAGTTAAGAAATTCATTTCAGATTATTGAAGTTAGTTCAGACGTATTTTTCACTGAAGAAAGGGCTTCACTCTTTGAGACAAATCACAAATCATCCACACACGGTGCTGTGTTCTGGGTGTTAATACTACAGCAATAAGGCCTTTTCGGGTTAAATTTGAACAAAATCTGGTACATTGTGCTATCTTATTGCCCATAAAAATAGCAATTTGAATTCCCCAGACTAAAGACACTGTTACTATACCTTGTGATTCGGTGCAAGCTTTTGCATAGCGACCTCTATTTCTGGAATGGATTGGTTCTTTTGTGCCCGTCTCATCCATTGAAAAGAGTGGATTGGTACGAGACGTCTCTCATGTAACTAAGCAAAGCTTGCCCCGAATCACGAGGTATAGCAACAGTGTCTTTAGTCTGTGTCAGTGTACCAGATTTCATTCAAATATTATTCACAAATGGCTTACTTGCAAAATTGCACATAGTTTGTGAGCAAAACAGAACTTTTCATATGCTGTTGGCGTAAGATTTACGTTCCTCGTCCTCTTTTACCTGGAAAGGCCGACCCACTAAATGACACTGCGTCGATGAACAATCTTCAGCAAGACTTTCTGCACTTTAGACGTGGATCACCCTCCGATAAGGAACAGTTCAACGGCGCGTTTGTCCAGACATGACAGACTATCGAGATCTCCGTGGGACGTTTTCCAGTACTTGATTTCGGCTCTGCAGGAGCTTCAACGGTTTTTTTTCTACTTCCTGACTTTGAAGTTGTAAGCACAATAGCAAGTCTGATAGAGCCACAAACATCAAGTAAGATGCAAAAGAGCCAAACATTACAGTACTTCAATTTAATTTAATCGCTTCAGGCCCACAATCGGGAATTGGTTTTGGAGACGACGCTGAGACGGAGACGGAGATGAGTATTGGAAAACGGCTAAGGCATGTTGGAAATAACATGCGCGACAAGATCGTACTCATGGGAGCGAGGTTGAGCTGTTCCCAAATAGCCTTGTACTGAGCATGCGCTGTTGGAATACCCAACTGCCTCATTAAATCTGTATGTTTAAGGCTATATTTACGCTGGTCATTACACAACAGTCAAATAACGTTCTCCAATAAAACAGCAAACAGTGCAATGAAACTTGTCAGCTTAATTAATACCTGCAACATGACCTACCAGTATCAATTATATTTGAGCTCACGCCCGAATGACACTGAATCATTTCTAAAGGTACCAACTATTTGAAGATCAAAGCAAATCTAAAAAAGACCCTGGAGATTCTTCCATAGGTGTAACTACTGACTGTATCACACGGTCAATCTCTTCTTTTATATATACATCATAAGAGACGGTTTTATGTTCCCGAAATACCGCCTCTGCTCAAAGTGAGGAAACAAAGAACGAGCCACGCTCGTGACGAAGTTCAAGAGTTACCGTCTGTGGAACAGGGAAAGTTTGAGTAGACGCGTTCTGAATCTGAAACGCCAAACCTATAAAGGTACCGCTGCAGTGAAAGTCTGTAGTTTCTCTGTTCAGGGGTATACGTTTATTGGAATTGAATGTGTTGGCACGGATGGGTTTGCCACATAATCGATCCTTCACCCTTGACGGACTATTTACTTAATAATAGCCCCTATGCATATTAGAACGCATTTTGCAAAGGTATGGCCCAGATTGGCCGCACGGATTATCATTCCATCCAACCTGATCGTCGGTCTTCCACAACGTACCGCAGTCCTTTTCATCTCCCGCGTCGTCCGGCTGCCAATATTGCCATGCTTCGAAGGTAAACGGCATCCCGTTACTCCAGGTGAAGGTTCCTTCAGTCAACCGATCGTTAAATCCGAGCCAGACGTGTTGTCCCAGGGAGCGATCCCCATTTGGGACTAGAGAGGTTTGCCACATCTGCAGCACAAAGTCGTTTTCTTCAGAGGTGAAGATGGACGCAAGATGCCCCTGGCCGTTACGGGTGAAGAACTCCCGGCAGTGCTCCTCGGCCGCTTGCCAGGTCTTGGGTGGACCGAAGAAACGGTAACAGTCGTGACGGAAGCGAGTCCAGAAGGGTGGGCAGTCTAGATCAACCCCAGCAGCCAAGCCGATAGCTATAGTCAGGAGAAACATCGTGCATGAAATCAAACAGATAGCCATGATGCTTCCGTGTGTGCAAACGCGTAGTGTGTATGTCGGTAGAGAGACGATTTTAATGAAGTCTTGATGTTATTTTGTATTAAATAACAAAATGTATTATATATAAACCCGGGTGTGGCTGGAGCTATAGCTGCACTTTGGAGCTTCATGGGTCATGCACTCGTTTGGGTGTGAACTAAGGCGAGTCAACATCAGAATCCTTATCAAACGAAATATGTTTTTAAAGCACCTTACAAAAAAGTGTCTCATTTGTGTAAACACTTCAAATTTAATGTTTGCTCTGGAAAAATCTCTTTATTGAAGACAATGACTTATTGTTGTGTTTTTATATATAGATAACAGTGCCGATAATCAGGATGCTGCCTTTTGGGCAAAACATTGTGTAGAAAGAATGATTTATGTTGTAAAGGTCCGCGGTAGCACAGAGTGACTTTTGTGCGCCCGTGTTTATGGTGTTTTGTAAGGTACCAGAACAATAAGAAGTATTTTACAAGGACCTATGTACTCCATTGGTATTCACCAGTAATGACACGACAAAGATGTTTGGAATTGACTCAAACAGGGATTTTTCCATTTTTCCTATACTTCTTTGTTGCAAATCGAAGTAACTGATAGGAAGTGCAGTCGAGATTTCAGTTCAGGAAAGTGATTCTGTTCAAATGCCCGGGGATTTGAACTGCGCTGTACGCACTAGTTTTTGAACATACGAGAAAGAATGTGTTTTATTCCTCCATAAAATAGGTCTACCCTACAACCATACAAACTGTGAGTGTGAAAAGAAAAGAGGTAGATTCAAGTTCAAGACAAACTGAAGGGATACCAACTTCACTTGAAATCCGCCTTGAGCCTGAAGCACACCCTCATCAGTTGGAAAAAGCCGTATTGCTTTGGAGTTTTCAATTTCTTGGTATAGCGATGCAACCGTAACATGTGCAAAAGGAGCACCCGATGCTAAACCCCCAAAAAATTAAACAAATAAATTAAACCCTTCTCTCGGTCCAGCTCGAGGCTCATTATTGCACACAAATTGATGATTACCTTGTAGCCTTCCCAAGTTCATACCCAGGGCCCAATATTAAAGCGCTGCTCACTGAATTGTTTCTTCTTATCGGTTAACCTGCTCTTTCAAGCATACTCTACCGATCTCCAGATTCAAAACCCGACGCAATCTCTCTTGATCTCCAAGTTGTTTAATAATACATGAGCCTCATTAGCTCGGAGGTTGTGTAGACTTTGTAGATAAGGCCTACCTTAGCTTCTTATTGCAGGAAGTTGTTAGGATTGAAGGCAATGAAAAACAAAAGGATTGGGACCTAAAAGTTTCCTTCTTATAACCAGGATGTTGTAAACATAGTGCTCTAATTAACGAGGTTGGACCGTACTCGTTTGAGAATTCTGGAGTTTTCAGATGTATTTGTATTTTTGACTTTCGCTGGTTGCACGTCCCCTCAACTTTAACTCGAAGATGTTTTAAGTGATTTCTGGGTTCACAATTTGAACCAAAAGTCGTCTGCACTGTACCATGTCTTGCTTGGATCACAGTAACCGCAGCCACGGTTGTCCAGGAACACAGGGATAAATATACTTTGAAATGTTTTTAATCGTCCATAAAGATGTAAAATACGTAAAGTTATGTTCATTAATCAGTAGGCAAAAGTTGTCATTCAAATCCACCGGACTTTCAAATGTACCCATGCCGTATAACAGAGCAGAAAGTCATGCAGGACGCCGGGCTACTTCTGTCCTTTTTTTTTCAATTTTTAATATGCTAAGATGCTTATAGTCATAAATTTGTTTTAGCTAAAAGGGGCCAATCAAGTTCGGATTTTGATGAATCACAGTTTTAATCTCCATATCAACATTTTTGAAAAGCGATTGTAGATTTAGAACGCGCGGTGAGGGTGAACATAATTTTGTTTTACAAAATATACCAAGATCCAGAGAAATCTATTACCTTCCACAGATGTCTCTTTCTGACACGAGTGCCCCTATGTAAGGCACTGGAGTCTTATAAAACGTCCGATATGGAAAATTTCGCATGGCATTTGTCCAGAGGTCTTTTCATGTCGAAGAACAGTTTTCTCTATCATCTAACATACCTGTATAATTCGGTCAACAAGAGTTCCCATGTTTATAATTACAAATAATCTGACTGATTCTAGTATATAATATCGGTGTTACTTAAGTTTCTGCACACAGCATTACATAGCCATCAAGCAAATACATGTAAAGATGTTCAAACCTAATTCTGCCAGTTATAACACAAAAGCACATTCTAATAGCGTGCTCTTATAGTGCCATGAAACTTCAACTAATGCAAATAGTGAACTACCACCACCAATTCGATCCAAGCTTATAGGCTTGAAAAGACATCGGCGAAGTACATTTCATGTTTTCTTAAAGGATGTCAAGATCAAAGGGGAATTCATAAGAGCTTACACAGGAAACTATTGAACATGTAACAGAATTGTTACTTCCTTTGACGATACATGATATGAGAGAGCCCTTAATGTTCTCAGAATAACCCATACTGCCGAGGCAAGCAACAAACTTCGCAGGTGACGTTCAAGAGTCATGGCTTGCGTCACAGAGAAATTTTGAACCGATAAGAACTGAATATGAAGCGTCCCAAGCCATAAATCAATAAAAATCTCTATCGCCTTCATTTTTTTTTTTTTTTTTTTTGGTCGAGGGTATAAAATGTTAAGTGGGGTTGAATGTGCTGTTGACGACTCCGTTACCACGGCTGGTTTTGTTGCGTGATCGAACTAAGTGTTTATCGGTGTAGTTCATCTTGACAACTGTGCTTTCCTTTTCATTTGCTCCTAATTAGCAGGCATTTTGCAAAGATACGGCAAGGTAACTTCACACCTATCGTCGTTCCATCCAACCCGATTGTGGGTCCTCCAGAAAGCACCGCAGTCCTCTCTCCCTCCTGCGTCGTCCGGCTGCCCGTCCAGCCATGCTTCGTAGTGAAAGTGGGTCTCGTCACTCCAGGCGAAGGTTTCTTCCATCGACCGATCGTTGAATCCGAGCCAGACGTGGCCTCCCAAGAATTCCTCATTTGGGACGAGAGAGGTTTCCCACATCTTTATCAGGAGGTTATTCTCTGCAGAGGAGTGGATGGACGCCAGGTGCCCCTGGCCGTTTCGGGTGAAGAACTCTTGGCAGTGTTCCTCGGCTGCTAGCCAGGTCTTGGGTGGACCGAAGAAACGGTAACAGTTGTCACCGAAGCGAGTCCAGAAGGGTGGGCAGTAGAGATCAACCCCGGCAGCCAAGCCGAGGGCCAGGAAAAATATCGTAAACGGTATCTGGTGGAAAGCCATGACGCTCACGTGTGCGAGTAGGGAGAAAAATTGGAAGGTTGTAGAGGTGTAGGATTTTTATATTTTGCACCAACTAATAAAAACAGAATAATATTTGCATGAACTCGGGTGTAGGAGCCAGCGGCACTTTGAAGCAATGCGGATTTTCTACTCGTAAATTCTCAATATAGACAGGAAAGTTTCGACCGAACCAGAAGACAATTGATATTGGCTCATCGCCTAAATCCACATCTAGCCAAAATGTGTTTACAGAAATTGATTTGTTGTTTACATTAGGCGCATGAAATACAACCAGGTTACATTGAGTGTCTCGTTTGTATAAGCAAGTGAAAATTAATGTTTGTTCTGGCAAGATCTTCAGGACATAGACCAGATGTTATAAAAGCTAACAAGTGCCTACTAACAGTTTGTACTTTGCAGGAAAAAGTTTGTATGGTCCGAAGGTGGTGATTGATGTGAGGAAGGTTTGAGGTAGGACTATCCTACGTGAATGTATGTGTGTATGTATGGGGGACTTGTGGGGTACAGTATTCAAACAAGACATACGTAATTGGACTTTTGAAAATTACTCGAAAAGGAGGTGTGCGCTAACCTAATATACTGATGGACTCGAAAACAAATATCCACACGATACGGGAAGGGAAAACGTTCTGTGGGCAGTGTCCTCGCTATAGGTTCCCCATCTGAAAACAAGGTTAGGGGGGTCAGATTATCCATCGTAAAATCTAGCTTAAACTAGTGTCCACTGTTGAAGAAAATGATCATTTTCATAGTTTCAAACTGCACAAAAACAAAGGAACACCCACACCAGGTATAGAAGGTAGCGTGAGATCTTGAAGACAACCTGTGCACTCAACGACATGGATATCATTGGTACCAAGTCTGGTGCATGGTTTGTTGTAAGTCCAGAGCCGTTTTCCAATACTCAACTTTAATTCCGTCTGGGGCTTCGTGTAGGAAACCAATCCCTGATTGTGGGCCTCAAGCGTTTAACTTGAATTTCTGCCTCTTTTGCATCTTACTTGATGTTTTGTGGCACTATCAAACTATTGCGCTTACAACCTGAATGTCATGAAAAAAATATTATGTGTGCGCTGTACGCACTAGTTTTTGAATATATGAGACAGAATGTGTTTTATTCCTCCATGAAATAGGTCTACCCTACAACCATACAAACTGTGTGTGTGAAAAGAGAAGAGGTAGATTCAAGTTCAAGGCAACTCTGTCCGCTGTGACTAGACATAACTAGACAAACTGCAAAGATACCAACTTCACTTGAAATCCGCCTTGCGGCCTGAAGCACACCCTCATCGGTTGGAAAAAGCCATATTGCTTTGGAGTTTTCAATTTCTTGGTATAGTGATGCAACTGTAACATGTGCAAAAGGAGCACCCGATGCTAAACTAAAAAATTAATAAATAAATTAAACCCCTCTCTTGGTCCAGCTCGAGGCTCATTACTGCACACTGCATTATGTGTTTAAACATAATGCACTGACTAGCAAGTTGTACGTACGCAACATGCCCACGCTTGAGAAGTGCTTTGCGCATGATGCTGGACTCCTGCACAATGCTACGCGAGTGTCAACCAATCAGTGCAATTTGTGTGGGCGGAAAAAATGGAGTTCTATAGACAAATCCGATTAGACGCCATAACTGCGATTATAGAGGACAACCTTCACTGGTTTATCCAAAGTTTTACAACTGAGTTTAGATGCCCCATTTTCAAGACAATGGTGTTCAGTTATGCATGACAGGAGGGATACCATCAAGGTATCATTAGAAAGAGAAAACGCAGAACGCATGCAAGTACCCGGTTGTAAGTTGAAACAAAAGATAGTGTCGCGTAAGATTTTTGTTTGTAACCACCTGTCTTTCTTTCGCCGATTGGGGGTGCACTTCAGCTTGGGCCGGGGCCCCAAAATTTACCAGACGGCACCTCCAGAACTCCGTATTTCACCATGAATACATTGACGTCATTAACCAAACAATATGGCGAACGAATTTGGGATGAGAGCCTTTCCAAATAACGCAAGGACAGGTTGAGTAACATAATTTGACATAATAACAAATAAGAAGCATATTCACGATAGCTTCAAGTCTGCATAATTAACGATACGGAGGTTGACCCTCTTTTGGAAAGAGATTCCAAAGCCATTAGACGGGACAGGCAACTCGGAAATGGGTGGCGCAAGTTCAACGGCAAACATGACTGGCCAGCGCCAGCAGCAGCCAGAGCGACAAGCGTCAAGGAAGATTTCAACGCAGTCGAAGACGGATGACTCCAAAATGAGCGCCGACAACGAGCGGGTGTCGAGATTGGTGCAAGCCATGACTGCTCACCCAAGGAAGAGAAGGCAGGGTGCATGGACTACACAAGCTACTGACGAAGGATTTGATGGATATAAAGTATGTAGATACATGTACGCCTAGTCTAGACAAGTCCAAAAATACTTCCTACTTAGCGTTAGGCCTAGATGTAGGCCTATGATGTAGTACATGTCCACTAAGCCTAATGCTAACATGTTTAAGGCATAACATGACCTAGGCCTACTGCTGATTTTCTAGTTGCAGAACTAGAAAAACGTGAAACGACTGTCTCTTTAGCTGTTTAGTAAACAGTAAATGGTCAAATGGTAAACAGTGTCAAATTGGAATAACTGACATGTACATGTACATGTAAGTTCAGGAAAGAGTTCCATATGTAGACGCCACTTGACCATGTTGACACCCTAGCTGTACATTAACCCTTTGAAACAGATCTGAAAAGTTGTGTTTTTACATGTACATGTAAGTAAAAATGAACCGGTATTTTCCCTCCTAAATTGAACTTTTCTGGACATATTTAATTGTTTTTGCTCACTGATGGCTATTATTAAGTCACTGCAGGGAATACTTTAACTGACGTCTGTTATTAAAGTTGATTGTAATTTGTAGGGTTGTCGTGGTAGTCTGGAAATATGAATGCAGTGCATCATCCTTCACGTCCTTGGGCATGTTGGGACCTCACATCACAGGACACAACAGTTGAATTTGACAGATTGTTTGTAATTTGAAGAGGCATAGAGGTTGCCATGCAAACAAGAATAAACCCCAACAAGTGTGACAAAGTATTCAATCAAGTCTCCTTCCACCCGTGTAATATATGATGGAGTATCATACGTGTTAGAATTGCTGATAACAAACATTTATACAGACGTCATCCAAACTATGAATATTTTGTAATCACTTTATATGTTAGGTAAACAAAATAAACTTGTATCATCTCCTTTAATAATGAATTTACTCACTGTTAATTTCATCTCTTTTAAGAAGGCCCTTTTGTTGTTTCCTTTAATATTTGTGAAATTTATACTCAGTTACTTTCCCCGACCTTACTTGGATTAGCGTGATTTCATTTGATTGGAAACTCACTGTGACATTGTGCACTTACTGGGACCTGGCCCACATAACAACAGGCTCAGCCGGTTAGCGACTCGCCCTCTGAGCCTGTTGCTTGGGCAAGAAAACATGGCAGCTCATCAAACGATTTAGACGTGAAGGAAAATCGATAGCATTAACTTTATATAATTTGGCTGAATACATGTACATATACATGTAGTTCAGCGACATTATTGCATGTGGGGGCAAATTGGCCTTGTGAAATAAAGGGCGTTGATGCCTATGACTGTTGACAGGTAAATTAATGTTACAGATTTAATCTATAACTGCATGATATTTTGACCCAGTTGGGCACCAGGAGTACCTCCAAATGATTGTCCATGTATCACCTTGTAATGTCCATGCCCACCTATAGGTACATGACTTCATGGGTAAACGTGAGGGAAGAAATCAAACATAGGCTTTGTTGTCAAAGAAATAGGAATTAAATACATGTAACTTAATATAGAAATAGCTTATAAAATTCAGTTTATTCTCACCCCCCCAAAAAAAATTATCATCACCCCTTAAAAGCCAGCCGCCTGGCAAGTTGATAAAAGTTTATAACAAGAAAACAGATGAACCATTCTCAAAAAAATCTAACTTGTTTCCTCATTCACAATCAGTGCAAAACCTGAAAATGCCAAAAATTGCACCAACTTTGTCGATTTACACATGTATAGAGATACTGCGTGTTTTCATTATGAAAGTTTCAGTGTGATGTGCCATGTGACAATCTTTTAAAAATCAAGGTCATGAAAGCTCTTTATGCACCTTTAAAATTACTATTTAATGATATTTAATATACCCAATGGAATTTGTAACTTTACCTCATTACTTAAATTTTAGGAAAAACAGCACAGGAACTCAACCAAAGTCAGTCACTCTGTTCATGGATTCAAAATATTCAAAACATTGTTACACCTGGCATTAGGGAGAGATGTGGTATTAGGGATCTCTCTGCAGTGGGGTCTCATTCTGCAATGACCACACAAGGCCAAGGTACTGTACATGTATGTCAGTTCAAGTGCGGTGGACGGGGCAGAACTACTCCAATTAAAAAAATGGAGGGGTACAACAGTGTGCCTCCACCACTTGAGGGGGGAAGCGGATCGGGTCCCTACCTTATGACAGACACCGACATGTCTACAGACAAGCCGTGTAGTAAATGTTGAATTCTGTTTTGTTCAGGAGTTGCAAATTTGTTTACTGTGCCTTTCCGCACCACTTTAGATGATCTTTTAATTTCTTCCGGCCTGTCAGGGATAAAAAATTTTTCTGCTTTTTGCAAAAGGAAAGTGTCTACATCCTGAAGCAGCTGTACAAGAAGATGGACCCAGCCGTCATGAAAACGCTGGGTGATGCCAAGGGGGAGGTCAAGTTATCGCTGAAGTACGATCAACACAGACAGCTGCTCATGGTCAAAGTCATCAGTGCGCGGGACCTCAGCGCCAAGGACTTACGGGGAAAGGAATCAGACCCTTACGTCAAGGTAGGCCTTTGATTTTCCTTATCATTCAAAGTCCCACAAGACTTTCCGGGTAGATGTTGCGTATACATGTATGTACATGTAAACATGCAGGGACGTCCTGTGTTGTTTTGTTTCACAAATCCTGACCTATGAGGTTAAGCATTTGTAGAGTCCAAGCATGTAAACTGGCATGGCTGTGATGTCTTGCCATAAAAAGTCGTTAATTTTGGTGGATAAATAAAACCATGCTCAGGACAGGCTCTGTGTGGAGTAATAGCATCGATAAGTGATGGAAGGAGGGTACCGGCAGAGGGCAACCATGAAGGGGTTGTCTCTGAAACCTTGCTGTTGCATTATAAAGCATCGTTTACACCCACGAAAGATATATGTACATGTACTGATATTGTGGTTGTAGCCAATCCCTACATGTATGTCCCTAGCACTTTTATGATGAATGCTCACTTTATTCAGATGTACATGTACATGTAACGTGACCTCAATGTACATGTATATGTACATTGAGTTCGGTGCCTCTTGGAAGTTTATGTACATGTAACGTGACCTCAATGTACATGTATATGTACATTGAGTTCGGTGCCTCTTGGAAGTTCATGGTACAGTTGCAAAGACCGCCTTGGAACTGATTCCAGGGTAGACTAAATTTGGAAAGAATTTAATATTAATTAGCCCTAACCCCTTAGGGCCATTTTACTAGGGCACATCCTCACTCCTCCAAAATCCTTCAACTGCCCAACTTCAAAAACTGCATTCATCCTCAATCCTCCAAAATCCTCCAATATTCAAATCATTATTCATCCTCAATCCTCTAAAACCATCCCGGAGGATTTTGGAGGATTGACGTGGGTTAGGGTTGACGATGTTCAAAGATGCCTCAAATGGGAAGAAGTGTACATGTACATGTACATGTATATGATATTGTTGTCCATGCATTTTTGAATATCAAAAAATAGCCTAATTTTTTTTTCTCATTTGCAAGTCTCTGTCATGGGCCGTTCCAGTTTTGGTTCAGGGTACCATATCGTTGGATTCCATTACATACATGTACATTCAATATGAGCTAAAGATTTCTAAGTATTGCACAATAGGCACACCTGTGGATGGTCTGGTTTCAATGACTGCCTGTCCAAATTTGTTTTTGCCCGTCCTCGGGACAGGTGACCAGGTGAGACACTACATGTAAATTTCTGTGTTTTCTGGTTCAGCTGGATCTCATCCCAGACAGCATCACCAACGGTTCCAAGAAGACCAGTCACGTGAATCGCTCGCTCAACCCAAGCTACAATGAGATCTTCACTTTCTCGCTGGCAGACAAGGACGTTCCAAATAGTCTACTTCGCATACAGGTAATTATCAGCAGTGATTAAATAGGATGGAGATGGAATCAGCCATCTACATCCGGTTGGCCAAGCACGACTGCAATCCTCATGATGGCTTACAAGTATTGTCTTTCAAGCATACTTGTATTCTGGATCTAGATTGGCCAACTCATGGCAACAGCTGTGCAATATTATGCTACATTATATACCACACGGTCCATACCAAAGTCAGCGTTACTGTACCGAATGTTGTGTATATGCACTATCCTAAACTTAAGCAAAACATAGAAATGCACAGCATGTGAGGAGGTGTAAATTTAAACATGGCGATAGTTCCTGTGTGCTGCATTGTGTTTTGCATTGTCAGATATACGCGTGAAGTTAACAAAAAATTATGCAGAAAATACATACGGGTTGCAAGTACGTGTAATTGCCAATATTTTACAGAGTGCTATATTCACTGCACAAAGAACACCACGAGCTTTTTTCCTTTGGATACAAGTCACTGTTAGGTTTTTCCTTTGGATACAAGTCACTGTTAGGTTTTTCCTTTGGATACAAGTCACTGTTAGGTTTTTCCTTTGGATACAAGTCACTGTTAGGTTTTTCCTTTGGATACAAGTCACTGTTAGGTTTTTCCTTTGGATACAAGTCACTGTTAGGTTTTTCCTTTGGATACAAGTCACTGTTAGGTTTTT